ATTTGGAGAGTTGGGGCTGAGGTATCATCATTTTGTCAGAATCAGGTGACAGAGACGACCACTAGGAGAAGAATGGGATGTGATAGTGGCCTTGTGGAGTCACCACAAGCAAGAATTTGTAGTCTGTGAGCTGAGTGGCACTCCTGATGCCAAAGACCTTGATTACTTTGGCAATGACAAGTTGAAGATCCAGAAAGGCCTGAAGGACATCCTTGATCTCATTGCCAAACGATACAAGCATGGTGATGTCAAGCATTTCAAGAAGATCAAAGTGTTTGGACTTCAAGTGTTTGGTAAAACAATTCGACAGCACAAACTGATTTATTTGAATAATTCATGATATGGCCTAACTAATAAATTCTAACTTCAGGCTGGAAAGTACATGTGTATACCATGGATCTGCAGTACAAGGCCCTTTATCAATTTTCTGAGATCACAGTCATCAATATTCCACAGCTGCCAGAAGAATTCTTGTGGATAACACTGATAGTGTGCATGTTTCTTTCAATAAGGGTAACATATTGATCATCATTAGAAGCTTATTTGTATACTTGATGCCAAGCCTGTGTTTACTTGTTTTTTGTTTATTCACAGGAGTGGGTTGAGGAATCTGTTAAGGCTCTGGGAGAGCTTGCTAATTCAGACATGTGGAATGGCTCTGAGTGCTTCATGTCTCCTCTGACATCACCAGTTGCAATGACTTCAGTGTCGAAGGCAACACCTGAAAATCCCAAAAAGTTCAAGCAGGTGGCTCTCCCTTAAATCAAAATTTCTAATATGAGCTAATTGTTGCAGAAATTGTTCCTGAATAAAATAAGAAATAATATAAAAAAATTTCTCAATTTCTTAACGAAAATATTCCCTTTGATCGTGTCAATGAGAGTTTTGTAAAGGTAAATAGGTTAATACTAGTATGAACAAAACGGCAATATGGATAATGTTACAAGTTTTAATAATTATCATTGTCCGGAGCGAAGCATAGGACGTTATACTTCTACGAA